ACATTCCATTCACAGCTGCATTTGTGCACCTTCTCTGCCCCACCAAAACATTTTTGGCACTTACCTGGCATTTTTCATCTTCAAAGCATGTGACAAATACTAATTAATGAATCTTCACAACACCTGGGTGATATTGATAAATATTCTCACCATTTTACAGAGGAGGCACATGAGTCCAAGAGGATACTTGACTTGACCCCGGCAACAGAGTCAGAATTAACACTCAGACATTCCTGGTTCCTAGCCCCGTGCTCAGAGCAGTACACCAGTCCTCATCAAGTTTTAGGCTCTGCAAGAGAGGTTGCAAACCAAATGCACAGGGCTGGTCAAAACTTGCCAATCAAAATATTTTTTTTTCAGTCTTGAGATTTTTGAAAAGTTAAATGTTTCCATTGGTGGGGGCTGGAATCCAATCAGCTCTACAAATGAAACATGCTGGGGTTCATTTCATCACAGATATCTAGGTCAGTACTTCCAGTATATTTGTCCTTGACAGCACATTGTTATATACATGGTGATAGTCCAGAGGAGACGCGTCCTCCCCCCTCCGTTTGCTGCTTGGCTTGTACTGAGCATGATCACATGGACTGAGCACGCTTAGTAACACTGCTGAAACCGCTGCCCTCACTCCGTCCCCCCGCACACACACACACACACACTATCAGCAGGGGTCGCCTGTAGCTGTTTAATGCTTGTTCTGTCTTCTCCACCATCTCCTCAGCCACATCCATCCTCCCATCCTCAGTGCCATGCCAACCTTCAGACCAACAAACACACCCTCCGCTCTGCTTATTTATAACACTTCTGGTGAGAGACCACCTGCCTACTAACTGAAAGGACATCCTGTGTGCTAGGTAGATAGCTGGCTATTACAAGAGGATTTTAAGCTTACACTTGGGGTTTGGTTACTGACTCTATCAATAATACAAAGAATACCACTGAGGCTACCCTCTCTTGGAATATGCACTGCTCTGGACACACCCTGGACTTTGCCAATGTTTCTTGTGTAAAGGCAGGCTAGAGGGTGTGTTAGGACTCGAGCTGGGTGACTAATTCATCATGACTAATTATCCAGCAAATGCACCCCTTCTTTCTGGGCACAAATTATTTGAACGTCCTATACCATGTTAGGCACCTAACAAAGGGAAATATAAATACAGTCCCTACCCTGAGAGTGTACAGCCTCAATTCAATATGATGCAACAGGTAAGAACTGTAAACAGAACAAAGTCGGGTTAAAGGATAAACCTCTATTAGTTCAGTCACTACAAACCTCTGCATGATCCCGTCTACACTCAAGAGTCAGCACTGGTGCAGCTACACCGATTGCTCGCCACCAATGACAGCTTCCCTGGTGTAGGCCAGTGATTCTTTCATGTCGTGTGTGTGCTCCAGCCAGTCATGGACAAGGACAGAGGTGGGCAAACTACAGCCCGTGGGCCACATCCAGCCCATGAGGCCGTCCTGCCTGGCCCCTGAGCTCCCAGCCGGCCCCTCCCCTGTTGTCCTCCCTCCCCCACAGCCTCAACTTGCCATGCCAGCAGTGCGGTGGCGTCGCTGGCTCCAGCCGAGTGGCGCAGCTCAGGGGCAGATTTACAAGGGAACACAGGGTGCCCTGGCACAGGGGCCCCCTAACAACAGGGGGCCCCAGGGCCGGGCACTCAGGCAGCTCAGCACCGGCGCACCCCCCACGGGGGGGAGGGGCTGCACTGCAGGGGCACGGGAGCAAGTGGGCGCGTGGGGAACGCGGCCGGAGGACTCAGGAGGAGCACCGGGCGGCCGTGCAGCCAGCTGGAGAGAAGCAGTGCTTTGAAGGGGAAACCGCCGCTTCTCTCCGGCTGCGCGGCTGCCCTTGCTCCTCCTGAGTCCTCCACCCATGTTCGCAGGGCCACATTCCGAAAGGGGCTGGGGAAGGGTCCCGGGAGGGGGCGGTCAGGGGACAGGAGGGGGGGTTGCATAGGGGGTGAGGTCCTGTGGGGCGGTTAGGGGCAGGGAGTCCCAGGATGGGGCGGTCAGGGGACAGGGAGCAGGGGGGGTTGGATAGAGGGTGGGATCTCCGGGGGTCAGTTAGGGGTGGAGATTCCAGGAGGGGGAGGTTAGGGGACAAGGAGCAGGTGGGGTTGGATGGGTCAGGGGTTCTGAGAGGGGCAGTCAGGGGGCGGCAAGTGGGAGGGGGCGGATAGGGGGCGGGGGCAGGCTGTTTGGGGAGGCACAGCCTTCCCTACCCAGCCCTCCATACAGTTTCGCAACCCTGATGTGGCCTTCAGGCCAAAAAGTTTGCCCACCCCTGGACTAGGATCTCCATCAGAGTTCAGTTTTTAAAAGTACACTAGGCTTAGCAAATAAACTGATTGGTTGAAAGTGTATTTTATTTATTCCTTATTTGTTACACGCACATAAGGGTTCAGTCATCCAGCAAGCTGACTGGCTAGCACTCATCCCATTCGGTGTAGTACTGGATAAAGTCACTAGCTATTTAAAGGGGAGGAAGGGCAGTGATTCCCCTAGGGGGATGACTGCTCTCATTCAGAGCCAGGAATAGTCTGGTTTTTTTTTTCTGCACTTCAGGAAAAGCGAACACACAATGTTCATTTGACGGGATCATTTCCTGAACATGATGTGTGCTGCGCTGTCTCCAGGTCACTTTCCAGTGTGTCACATCCTTCTGGACGAGGGGGGCAGGAAATGGCAAACTCCCACTATGAGGCAAAGCATTCCCACTGCAGCAATTGGTTCGTGGGAACTATAAATTGGGGTTCATCCAGAAACAGCATAAAATTTGTCCTTGGTGAGATTGGCTGGAAACGAAAGGTAAGTTGGAAATATTATTCCTCGGGACCCCTTCAGCACCATTGATTAGGAAAGAGTATTCTGTCCAGAAACATTTTTGGTCTGTTTCAGACATTTCTCTATTATTAATTATATTATTATTATTACTACTATTTAAATAATTAAATACATAGGGAACTTTTTTTCTGAAAACCAGGGGAGGGAGAGAGCGGCTGGAGATTCTGTTCTCCCTGTAAATTGGGAGAGACCCCAGGGAAGCCTGGAATGGAGGGGGATATATTTAAAATTATTATTTTACTAGTAGTGTCTGTGAGACTGCAGTTTTCTTTTTAGAAAAATGTTCATTTTCTCAGCAAGAAAATCAGTAGCACAAATGATTCAGGGGCTACCAGAATTGATTTCTTATATATTATTATCAGATCAGATTATGTTCTGCACAAATGTTTGGCTCAGTGCTTGTCATCTGTACTAGTTTAGGGGACAGGAACGATGGTTGAGAATAGTGTTAATGCGTTGATTTGGATACCTGTGTCTTCCAGAGTTGGGGTGGGTTAGGATCCCTGCCATAGAAATCTTTCACCCCCTGGCAATCTAGTGGCTGCCTGTCTTTCAACATGAAGTTGTATCAGACAGGAAACAACCTCTAAGGAGCAACAGAGGGTCCTGTGGCACCTTTGAGACTAACAGGGTCTAAGGGTCTGTCTCCAGTGTTTCTCAAATGCGACCACCATGGCTGCATGTGGCCACCAGGGGCTTTTCTTGTGGCCACAGCCTCCTGGGCTGTGACTGGGGGAGGGGGGCGAGGGAAACCAGTGCCCCCACCCCATCCCTGGTGCTCCTTGATAGACAGCCTTGGTTGCTGGGGCTTCCAGAAAGAGTTAGGCAGCCGGAGAGTTCCCCACCTTCCCAGGGGCGGTGGGGCTTAGGATTTGGGCTTCAGCCCAGGCATGGCAGGGAAGGCAGGCTCTGGCCACAAGGCTTTGGGCTCCTGCCACGGGGCTTTAGGCTGCGCCTCCCCCCCCCCCCCCCCCCCCCCCCCC